CTGGTAAGGCATGAGGATCTGGAGATAGAACCACAGAATCCTGAGCCTGACTGCTTTCTTAAGCAGGCGCTTAAACAACCGAACTAACGGGCAGGCCCCCTTTTGAAGATCTTGAGACAGGGTCTTGCTAAGTTACCCACTGGCCTTGCACTTGGGATCCACCTGCCTCAGCCTCTAGAGTTGAGTGTGGTGGCTTAACAGGTTTTTATCAGAATCATCAGGATTCTTTGTTGTTCCTGCATTGCATGAGGCTTTCCCTTGACTACTGGGGAGAATTTGGGCTGTACTCCGTGAGGACTCCCTCTCTGAGGAATTTGCAGATGGTGGCCAGGTTGAGAGGTGAGGCCTATTGGCTGAGGGATGGCTAACGCCAGAGGAGCAGGGATTGAGGGCTGCAGACCCACACCCTGGGGACACCACGCAGTCACCTCTATCTCAGCGTAGCTGCTCCCTGCTTCAACGTGGCCCCCATCCTCCACTGTGTATTGGATCAGCTTCCCAGCCGATGAGGACCTCAGGACCGTAGGATCGTTCTCCTTCTCAAACACGCACGTCTTGTTGCCAATGGTGATTCGGTAACTGGGAGGAGGAGCAGGGCAGGGAGAATGAGGACAGCCACCAAACCATGCTGAGCCAGGCTTCCACAGCATCTCCCTTTCCAAAGCCAGCACACGTGCGTGCGTGCGTGCGTGTTACCCTCGGCCCGGCGTTAGGGACTCTACATGCCCATGACTGTTATCACAGACATGCTGAACATGAGTTCACTGAGCAAAATATGTAGCTCTTTTCTGGGTAAAAGCCAGTTGCCAAAAAAAAAAAAAAAAAGCCAGGTGCTTTTACTGACGTAACCCCAACTGACCCTGGCACAGAAAACAATCAATATTATTGTAGCTATTCTTGGTACTGGAGAATTGAACCCACTGATGCCCCACCACTGAGCTACATCCTCAGCCCTTCTAGTACTTTTATGTTTGGAGATAGGGTCTTCCTAAGCTACCCTGGTAGGACTTGAATTCATAATCCTCCCACCTCAGCCTCCTGGAGTGCTGAGGTTACAAGCATGGGACACCATGCTCAGCTCTACAGTCATCTTGAATATTAATGGAAACTACAACACGAGCTAGAAAAGAGATAATAAATGCTGCCCAGGTGTGAGTCAAATCTGCCTCCTCCCAAAACAATGAGGACTGCAGATGATGTCACCTCTAACTGGTACCTTTCACAGGTGGGGCCTCTGGCATCTGTGCATACACATGGGCACACACACACACACACACACACACACTTTCTTTTTTTGTGTGTGTGGAACCAAGGATTGAACTCAGGCCCTTGCGCTTGCCAGGGAAGCACTTATTCCACTGAGCCATCTCCCCAGCCCACACACACACTTTCACACATGCCAGTTTTCCTTCTCTTTGGCCAGGGCCTGCGTCTTCTGCTCTGCCTGGGGACCTCTGCAGATGAGTATGGCTCGACACACTGGAGCTGGAAGGTGTGCAGAGCCCGTGCATGATGGGCCCTGTGCCCAGAGCTTCCAGAACACCTGCCTCCACCCAGCAACCTTTCCTGCCACCTTCTACTTACTGAACGCATCACCTTCAGACAGCTCAAAGTTCCAGGAGTTGCAGCCGGGGCACTCAACAGATGCTGGCTGCTTGCCTGCCTGGAGTAGCTCAATCACCAGCTGAATGTCTAGTGTAAACCACACCCACCCTGCATGGTGTGGATACTGCAACCCAGACACGGGGGGAGCAGGTACCTCGCCATACACTTTGCAGGCCGTGGAGTTGAAAGTCATGTTCCACTTGGGTCTGAATCCCCCCAGGTCACTAGAAAGGTGATCCTGGGGCCATTCCTTCATGCATGGAATTCAGCCAGGAGAGGAACCTCTCTAAGTGACCCCAAAATTTACCAGAGGGTTTGACTTAAGACTTGCAGGCCATTACTCCAGCCAGCTTTGCGTCCTCGACTCCCGCCCCACCAAGAGAGCTGTGCCCAGTGTCCACACACCTGTCCACCTCTTCCTTCATGTACGTGGTATAGCTGCTGCCATTGTACGACAGCAGCAACCCCCCATCGTTCAGCTGGTGGGCATCAATCTCAATGTAGCTGCCATTCATGATGAGGATGAACATGGTCAGAGACTGCCGGGCCACCTGTGGGGACAGGTTCATGTCATCGTCTGGATTCAGGATGTGCTCTTCTTGCTATGACAGCAGGCAAGGGCTGACTGTCCACTGTGGGAGTGGCGGGCTGGATGCCTCCCTCTCTGTAGCCCCAGCCCTCATGCACCCCATGGCAGTGGGCACACAGCAGACTGAAAACGGCCTGGAATCTGAGTCCCACGCGCCCCATGGGATGGACAAACAACTCCTGGCTGCAGACACAGGCCCCGCCCAGCCACGGTTCACTGACTGTGTCCTCTGGAGCCGGAGCTTCTTTTTCATTTCCATCACCAAGTAACAGTCCCAAGCAGGGCCACAACGGGTAGGGACTGTGGGAGGACAACCTGAAGATTCCAAAGTAGATTGGTAGACTGTTTACGCATCCCTGGTGTTCTGGGTTGAAACCCAACCTTGAATAGGATGGTAGTGGGAGGTAGGGGCCTTGGCAGTGATGAGGGCATGGGCGAGGACTCCTGAAAATGGAACTAGTGCTCTCAGAAAGGGACCCCGGAGAGCTTCCTTGCCACATTCCACCACATAGGACACTGAGAGACAGCATAGCTATGAACGAGGAATTTGGCTGCTATGTTTTGGACCTGGAACATTCTGCCAAAGCCTCAGTACAGAGGTGGGCTTCTGCAAGGTGGCTGCCGTGTGGGGGTGGCACGGCTGACTCTCTGGTGAAGAGGCGGGGGCTGGTGAGGCGTAGCTCACTGGGGTGTGACCTGAAAGGCCCTATCTCCCACCATGGTTCACTCTTCTCTCTCTGCTTCCTCGTGCTAGGAATTGAGCAAGCTTTGCTCCACTGGACCCTTCACTGTGCCTTCCTGTCTTGGAGCCAGCCAACTATGGACTAAAAACGTGAACCAAAACAAATCTCTCTTCCTGTAAGCTGTGAGTGTTAGATCCCAGCAATGAGGAATGTGACTGAGACATGGGTTTCCACCAGACGCTAAAGTGATGGGCGACTCGATCGTGGGTTTATCAGCCTCCAGAGCTGTGAATGAGCCATTTTTGTCATTCATACACCACCAGACTATGCTACATTATGAGAGCAGCCCAAATGGACCGGGAGACCTGAGCATGGACTGTGACACTGCTCGAAGACCAGCTCTGCCCAGGGCACACAGGAGACGCGGGGCCATCGAGCAAGACCCACGTGGGCAGGCCCAGCCCCGCTCTGTGTCGGATCCAGCTGGAACACCTGCTCCACTATACTTCATCATGTATGTTCTCTCTCAGAAAACAGACTTCCTAAAGTCCCCTCAGCCAAAACACCTATTTTGTGACAAAAGATAGCAAAAGGTATGGCAGTATGTATTCCAATATTATTTATAATAACTATAGTAATTAAAATTGTTGTCCAACAACTTCATGCCAGGACCCCAGACCTGCACGGTCCAATTTGGTCAGGTCTTATCTACGTGTGGCCATTTACATTTAAATGAGATGAAATGTGAAGTCCAGTACTTTAGTCATACTGTCACATTTCATGGGCTCAGTAGGCGCAAGTGGGCAAGTGGACAGTGCAGACAAAGTGCCCATCACTTCTGAAAGTCCTATTAGACAGCCCTACAGACACCAAACTGATGCTACAGAAATCTTGTTCACTGTCAGGCAAGGTGGTACACATCTGTAATCCCAGCTGCTCAGGAGGCTGAAGCAGGGAGATCACAAGTTCAAAACCAGTCTGAGCAGCTTAACCACTTAGTGATACGCCATCTCAAAAAAAAAAAAATTATATATGATATAGCACTTGTCTGGCATACTAAAGGCCTTAGTTTCCACTCAGTACTACAAAAAACACAAAACAAAACAAACTTGCTCACAGCATGGGAGAACTTTATGCAAAGAAATAGCAAAGCAGTTGCGGAAGAAGCCCTACCCCCCACCCCAGCCGGTATATTTGTTTGTTAGTTACCCAGTTCCAGTTCCTGTTACTTTTGTTTCTTAAAAACAGCTGGTCACTGTGAGGCACAGCTGGTCACTATGACGCGTATTGTAAGAACCAAGCTCCAATTGACAAGCCATGCTGCCTCTGTACTTCCTGCCTGCTTGTCCCATATAAGCCCCAGGCCACCAGAGATCAGGGCCTGATATTTTGAGAATGATCCTGATCAGTGCCCCTCAACAAAAATAAATCCTGGGTGTCATCTCAGTGTTTCTGCTTGCTGTAGCACAGTAACATTGTTTGTACCATGATCTCAGCCTTGCAAAATCAGTGCATAAGGAGGGAAAAAGTAAAGAAATCTGCTAACATGTTCAGAGATAGCTCCCAAGTCAGTTAAGAGTAAATTGGGCACTGTGATTCTACACACCTGTTTAGATTGTGTGTGTGTGTGTGTGTGTGTGTGTGTGTGTGTGTTTAGTACAGGGTCTACAGGGTCTCACTACACAGATCGGACTCGTAGTGATCCTGTTTACAGCCTCCCAAACACCAGGATTACAGGCACACGCCACCATGCCCAGTCTTAGTGTGCCCTGGGGGCGGGGCCAGCATGGCAGGCCAGGGATCGAACCCTGGTCCCTATATCTGCCTAAGCAGACACTTTAATCCTCTGAGCTATCTGGCTGGCCCCTGTTTAAAATTTTTAACAGTTTTCTACAATCAAATTGTGCCACATTATTATAGCTTAGGTCTAAAATGTCTCTAGTTCAGAGGGGTTCCTGGTTGGAGAGCCTGGGTCATCGGGGGTGTGACCTGGGGTGTGCTCTTGTCCCTGGCTCCTCCTGCTCTCTGCTTGCTGGCTGCTATGGAATGGACAGCTTATCCCCACCAGGCTCTCCCATCATGCTGTTTCTACTTTGAGACAAGCTCACTACGGACTGAACCCACTGGAAACTGAGGGGCAAACAAAGCTCTCCTCCTCAGACCAGTAGGTGTCAGGTATCTCTTGGTGACAAGAAAGCTGACACATTCAAAATAAAGTCTGTGGGGCCCTGGTGTGCACAGGTAGCAGCATTGGGGATGAAGAGGGAGAAGACTGTATCCTGGAATGGCACATTTGTTTTGCTGCAGTTGAAAATGCAATGTATGCTCAGCAATATTAAAAATAATAAAGCAAAAGAAAATAAAGTCTGCATAGCAGACTTCAACTCTGCCCTCTTTCCCCAGCCAAGAACATGAGCCTGCAAAATGACAAAGATAGGCCTTAACTGTCAGAGGACAATAAGCTCCTGTACCTTCCAATGCCACATCTCAGTGACCCTCCAGTGGACTCTAGGCCCTGCACTGAGCCTGCACATCTCAGGTAACCTGTGTCCTACATTGGCCTCAAGTGTCCCAACAGAGGACAGGGACCAGAGGAAGCTCTGCAGATGCTGATGAAGAACCAGGAAAGAGACTAGAATCCACTCATGAGTTCTTGGTGTAGCTAAGAATAAATGAACCTGGAACACTGTTCCAGCTCAGCAGAGGCTCTGGTTACACTCTGTACTAGGTGGAAGAGTGCTGCTCAGAACTCATGACTTTCATGGAACTTCAGAACGTGACAGTGTTTGGAAGTCAGATCTGTGCAGATGTAATTAGTTAAGACAAAGTCCTATTGGATGGGTGGTAGGGGTGGGGACTAAATTCAATGTGATAGGTGTTCTTATTAAGTGAGAAGAGACACAGGGGTAGGGTACAGCTCAGGAGGACAACAATGTGAGGATGCACACACACATGCACACATACACACGTGTGCGCACACACACACACACACACACACAAGAGGGAAGAAGGCTATAATGATGGAGGCAGAGACTAAAGTAATGTATCGACAGACCAAGAAAAACAAAGGATGCCAGTAACCACCAGAGGCCAGAGAGCCTGGGAACAGGCCCCTCCCTCATCCCTCTGGAGAGCCCATGCTCAGCTGACAACTGGACTATGCCTTTTGGCCTCGAGGAAAATGAAAAAACCTTCTGTTGTGTTACGTCACCATTCATAGCTCTTTTTATGCAGCCACAGGAGATGAAATGATGCTGCATCATGGTCCCTGCATCTCACTCAGCTCTACACACTCCAAAACCCAAGGTCATGGACTCCATGGGGAGCCCCAGGGAACACAACTGCTCAGGCCCAGGCATGAGGAAGTCCTCTCTAGGGATGGTTTATGGAAGAAACACAACAAACTTCCTGAAGCTTCTGGAGGATGGGGAACGTGAGAGAAGCCCAAGGACCTTACCTTGAGGATGTACTTGACACCTCCGTAAATCAACTCCACATCCACGGTGTTCAGCAGAGAATCCGCTGGGAGGACCTGGCCCCTAAGAGAGAAGACAGAGCTGTTGTCAGCCCAGGAAAGGACTGAGAAGGCCATGCCCTAGGCTCAGAAGTATCACCTAGAGCACATGCCAAGCATGCACAAAGCCCTGGGTTCTAGGTTCTATCTCTGGCACCATAAAGAAAAACTCTAGCTCTTTGCCAGATGGATCAGGCCAAAAAACTAAGTCTGATTTAAAAACACAGGACACAGATCACGCCAAGGAACCTGGCATTCCTCAGAATACAAGGAATTGCTCAAGGATGTGAAATTTTACAAAGCTTTTTCAGGTTAAGTTTGGTGGCATGTGCCTGTCATCCCAACACTGGGAGGCTGATACAGGAGGACGAGAAGTTTAAGCCCAACCCAGGCAATTTAGTGACTTAGTGACAGCCTGTCTCAAAATAAAAAAGGGCCAGGGCTTCAGCTCAATGCAAAAGTCCTAGGTTTTATCCCCAACCCATAAAATAAATGAACAAATAAAACAGCTTTTCAGGAGCAAAATCCATAACAGCTTCATCTGGGGGAAATTCCTAAGTGGGGACCTGCCTCCTGTCATGAAAGACACCAGTACAGAGATAGGGACTTTATTACCCCACCAAAGGACAATAGCACAAGCACTGATAACGTTTATCCTTTATTCTCTTCCTAATTTCACTTGCCTGTCACAGTAGCTCTCAATCAGAGGCAACTCTGTCCCTACTCCTGGGACACTGGGGACATAACTTTCTCAACTCAGGGAAGGGCTACTCCTGGCATCTAGTGGGCAGAGGCTGTGGATTCTGTCATCCTGCAATGCACAGGACAGGCATGCGCACACGCACGCACACACACACACACACACACACACACACACACACACACAATGGCCCAGCACTAAGTGTCACCAGAATTGAGGTGGGAATCCCAGCCTATCCGTATACCCAGTACCTGGCCCCTTTCCATTCTAGTCCTTTGCACTAGTCACTTGAGATTCAGGTAAGGGTCTGAGATAGAGCCTATCAGTAGAGACAACCTTCAGCCTACTCTGTGTCTCATCCCATCTTTCTTTTCCTTGAACTCTGAACTCCTGAGCACTACCTTGTTCCTTACATAAGGCAGCACTGGCCTCCAGGGACTGCCTGCAAAGTGACTCCTGCCTAGCGTTCAAACAGCCTACTTCCCTACCCCTCCCCTCTTCCAGGGTGGGATTTTGCAGAGGTAAGCTGGTGGGAAGGGCTCATAAGGGCCTGGTGACTGATCTGCCACTCAAAGCACAGCCTGCCCTCTGCCCTCTGCCCTACTTAACACATAACACAGGCCCCACCTTTCCAGAGAGTGCAAGAAATCCGTCATGCACGTTCTGAACATCACATCTGCCACGTTCAAGGCCCCGCACACCACCCCGAGCATGATGTCCGGCTTCTCCGCCTAGGAAAGACTCCAAGTCTCAGCATCTGCAGGGAGCTGTGGGTCTCAGCCACCTGGAGGGGAGACGCAGCAGCTCCCCACCTGCACTTTCTGGGCGATGAGGTAGTCCAGCCAGCCGGTGTCAATGTCATTGTTCTGGAAGCTCTCGGTCTCGAGGAGGTTAATGAGATATTCCACAGTGGTCCGGAAGTCACCCCGGATGGACAGTTCCTTCAAAGCCACCACCATGTTCCTTGAGGGAAATAACACATGATTGTTTTCCAAACTCCTACTGAGATCCCACGCAGTTTTCCAGAAGTAGTTTTCAGAGTGCCGAAAGAGCACAGGAGTTAAGATTGGGCTGCGTTAGTTACTCACTGCCCAAGTAACCCTGGACAAGTGACTTAGCTACTCTGGGCCTCAGTTATCTCACCTGGGAAATGGGGAAATAATCTTGAAGTCCCACAGATGTTGGAAGATTAAAATGAGACGTTGCATGTAAAGCACCCAGTCACTGATCAACAAATGCCAGCTGCTGCGAATGTGATGAAGTAACACTAGCTAATGGTTAGCAGAGAACGGGCAAGCTCTGCGGGCGACACTGGGTCTGTCCCCCTAGGCCTATTCAAGTCTCCTCTTCCCAGAGCTGGAGCCACCTCCAGCCATCCACGAGGCTGCTCCACCCAACAGGGTCACAGTGTACCTGCAGGTGGGGATGGCTGCCACCTGGCTCAGGGGCAGGGGCCCAGTGGCAGACTCCTCAAAATAACAGCCTCCAACTTCAAAAAGTGTTTAAGGGGAAAACGCATGAGAGGATGGCAAGGTCCTGAACGGACCTCTTCCTCCCGAGGGACCATGGCCCGGGGAGCTACCTAGCCGTAAGGAAGGGGCAATTGCAGTCCCATTTGGGGATGAGAAAATGAAGACACGGAGAGATCAAACATGGGTAGGACTAAGCTTTGGGGAACCCGCGATGGGCTGGAACTACAAGCTGGAAGCACAGCCAGTCAAGAGCGACTGACTGATGGGTCCCTGTGTGCTGGGGACACTCCCACGGCAGCCCTGAGAGGTCCGTTGTCCTTGGAAACTAGTGTCAGGAATTCAAGGCAGTTGATCCCCTTATTGGACTCTAACAGCAAGAGAAAAGTTGGAATTATTCCCTCCGAACTCTGAGAAGGTTACGGTTAGTCATGGACAGCATGGGATGAAGCCCAGGTCACTCTATTGGGAGGGCGCTGGCTGGGTACGCCACCTCCCACCTCCTCCTCCAAGCCTTATATGCCATAAATAACCCTCCACACATCACAAGTCTAAATTGGCCATGAAACACGATTAAAATGAAGTATTCAAAGCTGGCAAGCAGGCCCAGTCATTAAAACTGCCAAACTCAATTCAATGAATGTCTGGCTAGATGCCCCGGGCCAGAGTCTAATGCTTTTTAAATGAAATATTCGCAATGCCTTTGGGCTTTGTCACTCTGAAGGGCAGCTATCCACCCAAAATGAGAATGTTTAATTACAGTGTGAGCTGGGTTTTTACCCTTCTCTCCCCTTGTCAAGGCTGGGAAAATGTAAGATGTGGCATTTCAGAATTCCCGGTCCCTTGACCAGCCCATGTTACTGAGCACAGCAGGAATTATGACAAATATGGATGCGGCTCAATGGGGGACACAGGCTGTAGTCACATTAGAACAGATCCCGAAAAATTTGGAACTGGGTGAACTTCCAGAACTCAAGAAGTTTCCATCCTTTCTCTCAGCTGCAATACTCAGAACCTTTAAAACTCTCAGTGTTACCTGGAATGTTCTTTAGGTCTCCTTTAAGTTAGACAGTATATAAGATTGAGACCGAACAGCTTTCATGAGTACATTGGGCTTCCTGGGTCTCCAATGAAGGAAGAGAATTTGTTCTTTTTCTTTTAATTTTTGAGACAGGGTCTCGCTATAGAGCCCAGGTGGGGCTTGAACTCAAGGTGAGCCGCTACCACAGCCTCCTAAGTGCTGGGATTGTATGTATGGTCCACAATGTCCAGCTTTGTTTTTGAACTTCAAGCAGAGAGGCACTTACAATAGAGTCTGCCTGTGACTCATAGCCTTGGACTCCTAATATCACATCTTGAGGGTTTTTAGTTCTTACAGGAGGGAAGGAATGAAGCAAAAAAGCAAGAAAGGACTAGGGGAAGGAGAGACAGAGGGAGGAAAGACGAATAGACTAGGGTAGTAAAGAGAGACAGAGCGAGCAGGGAGGAAAGGAGCAGGAGGCAGGCAGGAGATACTGACGAAATGGCCTCCTCCCGGTTCTCGCCCCACGAGAAGCAGTGCCCAAACTGGGAATCAGCAAACTCATGTAAGCCTCCTGTGGCGGCGACGCTGAAGTAACCCCATACGTTCTTGCTGCTACGGAAATTCAGTTCCTGGACTGTCCCGGAGCTTGGCTTAAACCCCTAGAGTCCAGATAAGACAAAAAGAAAAAGAAGAAAAAAAAAAGCATAAGGGAAAATCATCACTCTAGATCTATTTGCATCAGAATTCAGGTCTAGCGCCTGCTTAGGCAGACACAGGGACCAGGGTTCAATCCACTGCCTGCCATGCTGCCTACCCCTCAGGGGGGTGTTGAGATGGAGATTGAAGCTGGGTGTGGTGATGCAGGCCTGTAATCCCAGCACTTGGGAGGCTGAAAACTGGAAGATCACAAGTCTGATCTGTGTAGTGAGACCCTGTAGATCCTGTACTAAATATATTTTTTTTAAAAAAAATTCAGTTCTAGGAAAACCCAGGAACACTGACCACAATCAAAAGCTTAGTTGCTCGTATATATTGCTACTTCTTGCTAAGGTTGTGTGTAGCAATTTGTAGTGAATCCTCTTGGCTATAACTCTGACTTTTAAAAAATTGTACAACAGCCTAGTTTAGATGAGGGGGAGGGCCAATGTAATGGCAGTGAATTTTGATTACTGAAGGAGCTGAATGAGATATGTTCTGATTTAGACACTGGACATTGTAGATAATAAAACTTTAAATAAAAATAAAAGTAAGGGGCTGGGGAGATAGCTCAGAGGTCTAAGTGCCTGCCTGACAAGTACAAGGACCCAGGTTCGATCCCTGGTACCGCATGCCGTGCCGCCATGCTGGCCACTGAAACCAGGCGTTCATTTTCATTCCTGAGAATGAAAACAGCTAGCACTGGGGAGGCTGAAAACAGGAGGATCACTATGAGTCCAAGCTGCGTAGCAAGACCATGTACCAAATAAATAAATAAATATTTAAAAATTAAAATAGGGGCCAGGGAGATGGCTCAGTGGAATAAGCGCATCCCCGGCAAGCGCAAGGGCCTGAGTTCAATCCCTGGTTCCACAAAATAAATAAATAAATAAATAAATAAATAAATAAATAAATATTAAAATAAAAAAATAAAAGTCGGGGCTGGGAGCATAGCTCAGTAGTACAGCACTTCTTAGTGTGTGTGCAGTTTCAGTTCCAGCCCCAGTACTGACAAAAAGAAAGGTGAAGAGTATGCAGATTTCTTACTCTGCATGAAGATTTCTGAAAATGAAAAGAGCTGGTGTACCCTGTGTGGAGCCGTGTATTACATTTACTAACGCACAAAGGGTTCCTTTTTGGAAGGCGCCCCACCTCCTTCCCAGCAGAATCTTGGTGAGGGTGGGTGGACATGGAACAGCCTCCCGAGGGCTGTGGTTCCCGAGGTAACGAGGCACATCCACTTAGCAGAGGAGGGGCTGGGGAAGTGGCTCAGTGGAATAAGTACTTCCCTGACAAGTGCAAGGGCCTGAGTTCAATCCCCAGTTCCACAAAAAAAAAAAAAAAATCACTTAGCAGAGGAGCCTGGGGTCCAGAGAGAGATGGAGAATTCTAGAGGCCGGGGCTGCTTCCAAGGCCAGTTTTCCATCCTTCCAGAACTTGTAGTAACCCCCCTGCTCTCTGAGCAACTCTCAGTCTGCTTGACCACCAGGGTTGATGTTTAGCTTGCAAAGATCCCAAACAGATATGGGTCCGCTGGCTTCACACTCTTTAATGAAAAGCGGGAGCTCTCTTACCCCAAGTTTCTTGACTATAAGCATTAAAGTTATAAACATTACACAGTGTCCACACAAATTTTAAAAAAAATCATGCTACCTCATTGATATTCACAATTTTTATGTTTATATATATGTATTATGTATACATACATTTAAATTATATGTGCATATAATTTCATGTTAAATATATTAAATTATTTATTTATTTATTTATTTATTTTTGGCAGAACCAGGGATTGAACTCACGCACTTGAACTTGCCAGGGAAGTACTTATTCTACACCAAGAATTTTTTTTTTTTTTTTTTTTTTTTTTTGGTAGAACCAGGGATTGAACTCAGACCCTTGCACTTGCAGGGAAGCATTTATTCTACTGAGCCATCTCCCCAGCTAAATTTTTTAAATAAAGTAAAATAAATAATCTGCAGTATATTAATGAGTTATAGGATAATCTGGTCAGTGAGCATGTGAACTGTGATAGATATCAGTTGGCCCATTTTTCAAGATCTAAGAACAAGTCACAAAATTATATATATATATATCACACACATATATATAGTTTGGGAAAAAATATATTCCCCATTGTTAATGTAACTATCCTATATCTTAAATATACACTAGTAAAAAAGATCAAGTCATAAAAGGACTTTTCATAATGCACCAAATTCTATTTATATTATAGCAAAAACACAGGCAACCAAGGATGCAATGTCCTGGGCTCTAAACCTGATGTTGGCCCGAAAGATGGCCAGCGTGCTGTGACTGGGCTTGCCTGGCCTCAGCAGGACCCCACAGGAGGCACAGGAGCAATGACCCCAGCCGCTGGCTGTCATCTATACCACCACCTAGTAGTAGCAGCACTGTCCCATAAGTACTGAAATGCTGGGTGATCTGCTTGAGGCCAGGCACTCACTGTGTGACCCATAAGCCAATAAACAGATATGTCCCTTCCACTCCCCAGGGTCCCTGTCCGCACACCCAGGAGCCTGGACAACTGGCATCTCCTCCAATGCTACATTCAGGGTCTACCCCAGGCTGGGCGGTCCGAAATGATGGAATTGCAGGGGCCCCACACTTGCCTCATCTGGATTTTCACTGGTGATTCTGGCGGCAATGACGTGGCCACGGGCGAGGGGAGGGCTTGAAGGGGCTTCAAAAACAATGGGTGTCACCCCCCATGGAGACTCGCCATACAGAAGCCGGATGTCCTTCAACCTGTGCAGCGGCACACCCATGGCAATCTGAAATCAAGAAATCTACCCTACAGATCAGTCCTGCAAGATTCCAGAGGAAGAGGCTCAGTCAATGATTTCAGGTAGACCGAGCACAGAGCACCTGTGCTGTACTATGGCGTGACAGGCAGTACAAGACAAGGCTCCTGCCGAGCAAACATCATCCCTATGGAAGGAAGCATCCAGAAAACAGCGCTGCCCAGCAATGCAGCGTGGGCATAGAGGTCAAGGTGTAGACTCTCAGAGCGAAGGAGGCAAGTGACAGTGTCGGACAGAAAGGTGAGGGGGATCGTGTGAAGGACACAGGAAAAGTTGGAAGGAAGAACAAACAAAACCCAGGCATTCTGGATCCCGTGTAACCACGGACTGGTCTGGACGTCTGGTGCCTCTTGACCACTGCACTAAGAACAATTCAAAATCGCCTCTGTGATATTCTGCTAAGAAATAACCAAGAACAAGGGACATGCTGCCTGAACTTGTCCAAAATGCAAACATCACACAAGACCCTCGGTTTTATTCCAAGTACTCCATGCAATTAAAAAAAAAAAAAAAAAAGTCCATGTCAAGAATAAAAAAATAAGGCCTGGTGGCACACACCTATAATCCCAGCACTTGGGAGGCTGAGGAAAGAGGGTCACTGTAAGAGCAGGACAGCCTGGGCTACACAGTGAGTTCAAGGCCACTGGATTACCTAGTGAGATCCTGTCTCAAAAAAAAAAGAATGAAAAAATAATACCAGGGAGAGCTTTGACTCACCTGAAAATTTTTAAACTAAAAGTAGATCAAATAAAACAACAATAACTCTAGAGATGAAAGAAGGGGAGATGGGAAGGAAAGAATAAAGAATATAAGAGAGGGGAAGGGAGCAAGTGTTAAAAAGATTTTTAAGAGTTCTTTGAGTTTTTGTAACCATGGGTCAGTGGTTCTTAACAGGTCCAGTACAGTCCCCAAAAGGGACAAAAAAAATTTTATTCTTCTTATGTATAAAGCACAGAGATAATACGTAAAAAGATACAGATCTGTGATGACAAAATTTCACCAGGAAGAGATCAGAGAAAAATACCTGTAGAATCTCCTCAGAGAGGCTGATTGCACAGTTTGATGGACAGCGCATCCCCAAAAGTCTCACGTGTTCAGAGGTGGAGTCTTTGGAAAGTGAGTGCCTTGTGGGACACTGTACTCATTAGGACACTGACCCAGTGTGGAGCTCATGTGATGTTAAGGCAGGCCTGGTCGGAGGGGTGTGTCACTGCAGTTGTGACCAGGCTCCTCCTCTCTTCTCCCCCTTGCCTCCTGGCTACCATGGCGTGAGCAGCTTTCTTCCCCTGTGCCCTGCTACCATAGTACCATTCCTTGGAGCCCAGCCAGTCATGGACTAAACGCCCAGAAACCGTGGGCCAAACAAATCTTTCCTCCTTTTCAGCTGTAGGTGTCTAGTCTTTTGTCCTGGCAACAGGAAAGTGATGAACACAGTAATAATCGAAAAAGGTGGGGAAATCCTTCTCTGGGTCTATGAATAGGTGTCAGGGGCCCACAAATGCTCTGAAGTCACATGAAAAAATATTTTCCTGGGGAGAAAGGCTACCACTTCTGCCCATTTCTGTAATGGCTCTTGGCCAGACAAGAGACAATAACATTTTAGAAGGTTCTTAGTTTTCATGGTTCCCATCAGTATACCTTAAAATTGTCATTTCCCCAGGGACAACCTGCCAAAAGAGGGACAGGACCAGGTCTCCCACCCGGGCTGGAAGAAACCTCAGGTGGAGGCCCATTTCCTCACCTGGAGCTGGGCAGCTGGCAGGTTGACGTCCGCAATCATTTCTGTACAAGGATGCTCCACCTGCAGGCGGGGATTCAGCTCCAGGAAGTGGAAGCTGCCGTCCTGGCTGTAGAGGTATTCGACTGTCCCTGCACTCACATAGCCCACGGTCTTGGCCAGGCGGACAGCGCACTGCAGTGAAAGAGATAGAAACCCAGTTTCCAGTGGTGTTCTCAGGTGAATCGTTAGTGGTCTCTGACTGGCTTAGAGGACCTGCTGCTTGGGAGGCAGCTGGGAGCCTCCGAGGTCAGCTGATCAGACACATCCCTGAGCTGCTGCAGTCACCTCTGGGAGGGGCCCCTCCTCCTCTTCCTGGGCCCACCCACCTTCTGGCCCACCCCACTTGGCGAGTGTACCTGCTCCATGAACTCAAACACAGCTGGTGTCGCGATGGTGGCCGGGGCCTCCTCGATGATCTTCTGGTGCCGCCGCTGGATGGAGCAGTCCCGCCCGAACAGTGACACGGCATTGCCGTACTGGTCAGCCAGGACCTGGACCTCCAGGTGCCGGGCATGCTGGGCCAGCTTCATGAGGAAGACGGGCGAGCCTGGGACCTCACTCTGCACCTGTGGGCAGCAGGGCCGCTCAGTCTCTGTGGAGAAACCGGCTGTGGGGGCTCCCAGAGGTTCTCAGGAGAGACCGTCATGTAGCAGCCATGCAGTTAGAGGACAGCTCCAAGGACCCACACATTCTCACCCTTTGTTGTTCCTCACCCAAAGACACAACATTCTCATGTTTTTAGGTCAATCATTGTGAAAAGGGTAAAACACTTTTCTACACAATCCTATTTCTTAAGGAGAGCACCCTGGGAGTCTTGTGTACAGCATGTGGACTACCACTGACAATAACATATCATATTCTCAAAATTTGCTGAGAAAATCAGGCGTTCTCCCCAAACACACACAAGTGGCAACCATGTGAGCTGACGGACCTGTGAACTTGACCGAGATCTTCATTCTTCATTAAATGTACATATAAAAGAGCATCCTGTCTTGGGCCTTCGATATATGCAGGGGTTTTGTATAATTTTATTTATTTTTTTATTTTAATGTACTACAAGTAGGTATTAAGAAAAAATAATAACACTTCTCACTTCTAGGAAAAATTAAAACAAAATGTCTAGCTCTCCCGGGCTTCTTCTGGTGTTTGATACTGGGTCTTACTTATACTTTGTCTTCCTGTCTCAGTCTCTCATGTGCTTGGATTACAGATGCACATTACTGTGCCCTCCTCCTTAGGTCTTTATGTAAGAAAATAATTCAGAGAAGAAGCAAAACGAAGTAGTAGTTATAGTAGCAGGCTAGGATGGTGGTGCACACCTGTAATCCCAGCCCTGGGGAGAATGGCACAGGAGGAACATGAGTTCAAGGTCAACCTGGGCAACTTATTCAGATCCTGTCTTGAAATAAAGTTTTAAAAAGCTGACAATATAACTCAGTGATAAAGCACTTGCCTAGCGTGCTCAGGTTCCTGCATTCAATCTCTAGCACAACAACTTTAAAAAAAGTTTCATAAATAAGTTTAGAGGCACTGTACCATCATCAAAATAATTGTGAGCCCTGGAACAACATGATAGAAATGTTTATGATCTATCATTTCGAGTATTCTAATGTATAAGAAAATGTAGTTTAGACTCTATAAAATATACATAGGAATGAGGTCTAGAAGATAATGTAGAAATATTAAAATAGTTTGGTTTAAGAATGGGAAAATGACTGGGCATGGTGGTGCACACCTATAATCTCAGCACTTAGGAGCCTGAGGCAGGAAGACCATGAGTTCAAGGTTATCCTGGGCTACATAAGCAAGTTCAAGGCCAGCCTGAACTACATAGTGAGATCACGCCTCAAAGGAGAAAAAAAAAGAACAATGGTAAGGTGGTCAGGATGATTTTATTTAAACAAGGAAAAGAATACACAAAATGTACTATATGCCCAGGCATGGGAGTACTACATGCCAGTGTAACCCCTCTAAACATCAGTACTAACAGGCATGATAGTTTTGGGGGTTTTTTATTTATGTATTTGGTACAGGGTCTCACTATGCAGCTTGGACTCATAGTGACCCTCCTGTTTTCAGCCTCCCCAGCACTGGGATTACAGGCATGTGCCACCATGCTCGGACTCAGTCACAGGCTCAGCATGCCCTGGGTGGTGGAGCTGGTATGGCATGCGGGACCAGGGATCAAACCCTGGACCCTGCACTTGCCAAAGCAGGTGCTTAGTCTGCTGAGCTATCTCATCGGCCCTAAGTATAATAGTTTTAAAGAGGAAAACAAGAGTTTTGTAAAGTACACATTTGTAATCTCAGCACTCTAGTTATGTTGAGATAGGAGATTGCAAGTTTCAGCCCAGCATGGGTAAACTTAGTGACTTAGCAAGACTCTGTCTCAAAATTTTATAAAAAGGACTGGAGAAGTACCTCAGTGTGAAGGTCCTAAATTTAATCTATAGTACTGGATGGAAGGGAGGGAGGGAGGAAGGAAGGAAGGAAGGAAGGAAGGAAGGAAGGAAGGAAGGGAGGGAGAGAAGGAGGGAGGAAGGGAGGGAGGGAGGGAAGAAGTTATAGGAGGGAGGGAGGGAGGGAAGGGCAAAGAAAGAGAAAGGAAGGAAGGAAGGAAGCTAGCTAGGTACTAGTAGCTACAAATAGGTAAATATATAATGTATTCCCACAATTAAAATTACCAAAAAATTAATTAAAACTGGTCATCTAGAACATCAAAAGTATCAAGACTCCTACAATACCTACCCCTTGACAAGTACAGTCACAAGCAGGTATTTTAACACTGTATCTATGAAATCCTTTAAAAATGCAGAGTCACAGAATCAAACCATCCATAGTAGTAGTATAAAAATCAGTGCAAACCATGATTTTCTTTAATAGTGTAAGTACATATTTGCTTCAAAATTCAGCACAGGGCCTGGGATGCAGCTCAGAAGTAAAAGACCTTGCTTAGCATGTGTGAGGCCTTGGGTTCAGTTCCCAGAACCAAAAAATAACAACAACAAAACAAAAAATAAAACAAAAAATAC